CTCTGATGTCGTACAATCTCCGCTCTTGCTCGGGCAGATTATACAGCTGGGCCTAGCAGATGCGCTTAGGAACTATTGTGGAGCAAAACATCTTTTAAGTTACTTCAGGGTTTTCTACAGCTGCAGCTGACTCCAAAATTGTTTAGACACTGATGATACATACTTTAAGTTGGGCCTTTTGTGGAATAAAATCCTCTATAAATACGAAGCTTACAAGAATTCTTTCACTCAATCAATCTGGATCGACCATTAACCAAAAACAAGATAGGTCACCGGCATAAGCTCTACAAAACATGGGATGATTCATACTTCTTATCCTAAAAGATCGCCGCCAAGGACAACTTACTACTCAAGCATTTCGAAGGGAAATGTGCGCTGTTCATGCAAACAATTGGCTGGTTTCAGCTTTCTTTATCTGCAGCTATTTTTAAAGGACTTGGAGTTATTCCAAGATAAAGGATGGTTTAAAAATGTTTTTTTCTTTGCGTAAACATTCCGTCAACTTTTGTGGATAGTGAATCTTCATCGCAGTTTTTTCATAAGAAAATAGACAATGTTGGTTGATTATCTTCTATATATATAAAGCAGAAAGTCTGTATGAGTGTATGTATGTATTTATGTAAGTTTATATATGTTCGAAATACAAATTTTTGTTTCTGAACCGATAGGGCCCATATTCTGCACGCATAAATTTTAGACCCTGGCGGTTAACATAGGCTACTTTATACAGTAGTTAATCGTCTGATGGAGTTACTTTGCGAATTTTTGGCCGTTTTTAAAAAATTGATTCAATCGTTATCAGACCGCTTAAGCAAGATCATGTAAACAAATGTAGTTTCTAAATGGATGTACGTTAATGCGGAGTGGTTTATTTGGATTAACAGTAGGAATCAGAATTCAACGATAATTGTAAGGCAAAGGCAGCCAAATTGTGTGCGTTAATGTTTTCGTTCACATTTGAAGAAACGACAATCATTTGAAAGTGCGTTAGCTGACATCTGAGCATTCAGCTGCCTTGGATAACTACATGAGTAGGCTCACCTATTTGAGACCGGGGAAGGGGGGAAGGGTAGGGTATGGAGTCTCGAATAACGCTCGGAACTATCTGCACTTCCACTTTCTCTCTACAGAGTATGCCTTAGTCATTTTTTGGTAACAATGGTTCTGAGTTTAAGTATTGCTCAACAATCTGGCGTCGACACAACTTAAGATTTCAGATAGAGCCCTATGAAAATATGGAGGCTGCAAGTTGTACCTCAAAAATTCTATGAAAGCGAGAAAAGCCGGATATACCAGCTACTTATTACTGATTCGATAAGGTTGACTGAGGACTTTGTTACGCCAAACAAGTTCATTGTTTGAAATTGAACTTATGCATTTACTAATCGCTATCAAACTGACTGAAGATCATGCAAGATGATTTTGAAATGAAGGTAAGTGCGGGGCGGCTGTTC